TTAAACCCGATCAAAATCTCGGCACCATGGGTTTTTCTGATCCGTTTAGGCAGTTTGGTATATTCTCATATAATTTTTCTTTGTTACATGAAGTTCTATGTGATTTATCTGCTCTTCTTCTATTCTTAAGCTCTAAGCCTCTTCTCTCTCTCTCTCTCTCTCTCTCTCTTCTCTCTCTCTCTTCCTCTCTCCTCTCTCCTCTCTCTCTCTCTCTCTTACGTTCATCAGTAATATCCTAATTTTTTCCACAGAACTTTCATTTTCCTGTCCGCGCCGCCCCCCCCCCCTAGCTTCGAGAAGGTCAAAGAATGACTTGAAAATCCTATCTATTTTTCACTTTTGATTCACTTGTCGCTCCAAATACTTTCACCGTGTAAATTATTTCGCCAATAATAATTAGTGTTTGTTTAAAACTATCCAAACAGTCATCCTGATATCATAAAAATTCCGCAAAAGGTCAAAAATTGATTATTAGTTCCAAAATCAAATTGTAGTTAACTGTAAGCAAGGAATAAATATATATCATCATATATAACCGCAAACCTTGGTCATAAATAAGATCTTCCATTAATTTCTATATTTTCTTAATTTGAAATAGTTAAATAGAATATTATCATTTATAATTTTAAAACACTTCCCCCCTTGTTGTTTACGATTGAGCACGTAGGCCTATCAAGGACGGGGAGGGGGGGGTGTAACAATACCCCCCCCCCCCCCCGCTCCACCTTTTCAAACTTTCAGATGAAATAATGCCAAGTCATTCGCTTAATAATTATTCTTTTCTTATGTAAATCAGTGATCTACCCATATACACTACGCCCATACGAATGCCAAAAAATAGATACGCACAAACACACCCGCATTCACGTATTTTTCGTTTTTTTCTTTTGTTTATTGTAATGGTTATTGGACAGGAAATAATTATTGAACAGGAAAAGACAAATACAATTCGTTATTGAACAAGAAAAAATAAATATAATTCGGTATTGAACAGGCAAGACAAATACAATTCCTTATTGAACAAAAAATAAATACAATTCGTTATTGAACAGGAAACGACAAATGCAAAAATTCGTACTGAATAAAAAAAAAAAAAAAAAAACGCAATTCGTTATTGAACAGAAAAACTCAAATACAACTAGTAATTGAACAATATAACAGAACAGCCAAATATAACATTTATTAAACACAAAACCAACCACACTAAAAACATTGAACAGGAAAAAAGCAAAAATATGAGTCAGCACCTGTAACTAGTGCTGAGAAATACCTCCTTCAGTTGTTTATATATCTTGAGAGCGCAGGTTTACAGCTTTGTCACCTTTCAGCTGTTTATGATCGCACTTCCTCTGTGCTCTCGTCTGATCGTACATATCCGGTTGTGTGTGTATGTGTGTGTTGGTTTATGGCGTGTCGTGTTGTGTGTATGTGTGTGTGTGTATTAGTATTTCTGTGTTGTGTTTAGGTTAGGTGTGGTGTGTGTGGTGTGTGTGTGTGTGTGTGTGTGTGTGTGTGTGTGTGTGTGTGTGTGTGTGTGTGTGTGTGTGTGTGTGTGTTGTGTGTGTGTGTGTGTGTGGTACGTCAGTTTTATGAGCGCGTACCTGATAAGTGTTCGTTATAATCTGTTTTATTTATCTTCTAAGATTTTATGGAGCTTGTCTTATCAGTGGATTTCGTATTTCAAGTTATATTATTATGAGTTTTGTTTTTATTATTGTTTTGCTCTGTGTGGTCATGTGCCGTATATACATATCTGTCTATTCACTTTTGCTTCCTCCTTCTCTCTCTCTCTCTCTCTCTTGTCTATGTCTATCTATCTATCTCTTTTTCTTCTCTCAACCCCCCTATCTCTATCTCTCTATCTCTCGCCCAGTCCCTCCTCTCTCTCTCCTCTCCCATCCTCACTCACTCACTCACTCTCTCACTCTCTCTCTCCTCTCTCTCTCTCTCTCTCTCCTCTCTCCTCTCTCTCTCTCTCCTCTCTCTCCCCTCTCCTCTCTCTCTCTCTCATCTCTCTCTCTCTCTCTCTCTGTCTCTCCTCTCCGTATCTCTCTCTCTCTCTCCTCCTCTCCTCTCTTCTCTCTTCTCTCTCTCTCTCTCCTCTCTCTCCGCCCCCCCTCTCTCTCTCTGTTGCCAATCCTCTCTCACTCACTCCTTTCTCTCTCATCTCAACTCCACGTCATCTCTTTCTCTCTCTCTGTCCAGTCTTCTACTCACTCTTCTCTCTCATCTCACCACCCCCTCACTCCTCTCTCCTGTTCCAGGCAGTCCCTCCTCATCAACTCTCCTCTCTCAGCTCTACCCTCACTCACTTTTCTCCTCATCTCTGCTTTCCAGTCCCTCTCACACTCATCACTTTCTCTCTCATCTCACCCCCACCACTCTTTCTCTCTCTCTGTTCCAGTCCCTTGGCAACCACGAGTTCGACGACGGCGTGGCTGGCGCCGTGCCCCGCTTCTCGAGAACGCTCACTTCCCGTCCTCGCCGCCAACTTCGAGGA